TTTTAAATTTATCTATTATCTTTCATTTTTATTTTAATTTAATTTAATCTATTAATTTTTTTTATTAATAGTTTCACTTTATTTGAGTAAATTGACTTTTAACTATATTTTTTGATTTTTTTAAAATTAATTTTAAAATAAAACTAATTTTTTGAAGATGATAAGTTCTTTTTTTCATTATATAAAAAATTGTAATTTTTAGTTTTTTACCACATGTTACTTCAGCTTACCCTTTTAACAACTCTCTCTTTTATAACAAAAATCACAATTATTGACATGTTTTAATAGTTGGTATAATCTCTTATGAATTGTTTTGCTAACTGGATTACTTTATTTTGATTTTGATTTAATTTTTTTGTTATTTTTTATTAAAACTAATAGAATTTTTGTATAGTAGACTATTCTAAAATATTTTACAAAATTTATAAACTATTTAGAAAGGAAATTAACTTCCTAAATTAAAATGAAATTAGGCTAATAGTAACAGATCAATTATTGAATTTAGCCTACTACAATCTCAAAGATGGCTATATATACCAGTTGCATGCCTTCCACTTCCTCATCTATCACCAGCCTCTCAAGCATCCTTTACACGTGGCTTCTGTTTAAACCTCCCCCAAAACTCAACTAACCTTCAAAACTACAAATGCATTACCCAACAAATCTTGTTATGGACAGCCTAAAATCTCCCCTGCGGCCTCCTACTTACGGAAACCTAATCACTATTCTTAGCATTGATGGAGGTGGAATCAGAGGGATTATTCCCGGAATTATACTGGCCTTTTTAGAGGCTCAACTTCAGGTACAAAACTTTATAGTGTATATATTTGCACAACCTATATAAAGCATGTATATATATATATTATAAGAAGCATATATAATGTTTTCTTAATTAGTTATATATATATATGTATTGTGTATTTACTTTGAGCAGAAACTGGATGGTGAGGAAGCAAGACTATCAGACTATTTCGATGTCATTGCCGGAACTAGTACCGGTGGCCTGGTGACTGCCATGTTAAGCACACCAGACGAAATGAACCGCCCTCTGTTTGCTGCTAAAGACATAAAGGACTTTTACCTTGAACACTGCCCTAAAATCTTCCCTCAAGACAGGTAACCTGGAGGACCACACAGCTTAATTTTATTGCATCTTTGTTTTTCTTCTTTTTTCTTAGTAATTCACACGAATATACTTTGTTTCTTTTACACAACAGTAGCGCTCTGTTTGCTCCTGCTACAAATCTGGTGAGATCTCTATCAGGACCAAAATACGATGGAAAATACCTGCATGACGTTATCAGTGAAAAATTAGGAGAGAAAACACTGAGCCAGGCGTTGACAAATGTTGTGATTCCGACCTTCGATATCAAAAACCTCCAGCCTACAATCTTCTCCAGCTACAAGGTTGGATAACAGATAAATAAATAAATAATAGATAGTACCTTCGAATTTGGTACGTGGGGTCTGATTTTGGTACAAATATAGGCGTTGTTATTAATTCATCATTAATGTCTGTAGGTGAAGCATGACCCTTGCTTGAATGCTTTGCTCTCCGATATTTGCATTTCAACCTCCGCCGCTCCGACTTACCTTCCGGCGCACCATTTTGAAACTGAAGATTACATCAATGGAAAACTGAGAGAATTCAACCTTGTTGACGGCGGTGTTGCTGCTAATAATCCGGTACACATAACTCAATTTTCAGTAAATATTAACTAATATATTGCCACATATATATATATATATATATCTAACAAAAGTATGTGTATATATATTTTTTTCCAGACTTTAGTTGCCATAAGTGAAGTGACGAAAGAAATCACGAAGGGAAACCGGGATTTCTTTTCAATAAAGGCAATCGATTACAGTCGGTTTCTGGTTATATCTCTGGGGACAGGTACAGCGAAAAGCGAAGGAAAGTATAGTGCTTTAAATGCAGCTAAATGGGGTCTTCTGGGATGGTTGACCTTCGACGACTCCACTCCTTTGGTAGATGTGTTTACTCAAGCTAGCAGCGACATGGTTGATTTCCATCTGGCTACTGTTTTTCAAGCCCTAGATTCCGAGGATAGTTATCTTCGAATACAGGTATACTGTTCCTACTGAATCGACCCTAAAAAGGAATAAATGAGAAGAACACAAAAGTGAAAATTAGAATATATACCATCTCAATCATATGATGGATGAGATTTATGTTACTTGTCTTATAGTTGTAATTAACGTTATAACGTTTTTAATTAATGTCACAAAAAAAAATTACATATTTCATGGAAATGAAAGAAAATTTTTAATGTATAAAAAATTAATGAAGGATGATACGTTAACGGGACCATTAGCCTCTGTGGATGTTGCTACGGAAAAGAACTTGGAGGATCTTGTGAAAGTTGGGGAAGAACTGTTGAAGAGGCCTGTTTCCAGGGTTAATTTGGATAATGGCCAGGTTGAGGCTGTCAGTAGCAAGGAAACAAATGCAGAAGCTCTCATAAGGTATATATATGGAGCCATTTCGTTAAATTTTTTAATTTCTTGGGATTTACATAAATAATGATGTATTGATTTAATTTTTGTACTGCTTAATTTTTATGTAGAATGGCAGCTATACTTTCCAAGGAGAAGTGCCTGCGTCACATGAGAACACCACATGGACACGTTGCTCAGAAGAAATGAGGAATGAATCAATCTCAAATTAATAAATCTTGCAGCTTATCCAATGCGTTTCAGTGTGGCATCCTAATAATTATAAAATAGGAGTTAACTATATGTTTGTATCATAAACAGTGTGCTCCCCTTTTACTATTGGTGCAATTTCTCCAGTTTATGTGTTCAAGAAACTGTTCAAGAAATTACTAAGTGTTACATATATCATTCATGTTTTCAGTCTTCCTAATTATTTGTGGAATGTTTTCACAGGTGTTCTATCTATAATTTTTTTTGAGATTATGAGTGAAGTACTCTTTATACTCTTTATTATGATAAAATTTTTGATTCATAAAAAAAAAAAAAATTAATGTGACTAGTATATGGTTTTTTTTTTTTTATCATCAAAAGAAAATTTTATTATATTAGAGTGCAAGGGATACCCTGACCCATTTACATCACATTTTACTAATAATGTGGTTAGTATATGGTGTTATGTACTTTTGTTGTAATATGATTAAGAGAATTAAATAATATGGATATTAAAAATTAATATCCATTGCATCCATGGTCCAACTAGCAATTACTGATTAAAATCGTGAAATGTCTGAGTCTCTCAGATTTGATCTTCTACCCTTATCCCTAAATCACTATTTTTTTTGTTTTTTACTAAGACTCTTATTTAAAAGTGAAATTAGATCTCAATTAATTTTGAATTAAGTCACATCAGATCTTATAAAAAAACTCTCTTAGTACTTATTTTTTTATTTATAAAATTTAAATTTGAATTTTATTTAAAGAGAATCGAGTTTTTTTTTTTTACTTAAAACAATAAGTCGTTGATATTAAATACATATTAATAGGAAAAATCCTTTTATTTAATTTAATGATAATCTAAATGTTTAGACCAGTTGATAAGAAAATTTGCTCTTCATTTTATTTACTAAGGTTCATTTCTTTACGTAAGTTAATGAGAAGGTATGATTTCATTGAATTTCTTAGTTTTAATATTAATAGCTTACTTTTAATTAAATTGATAAAAATATTAGTCTCAAAATATTTATAAATTAGTCTAAAAATAGCTTAATTGCTAAAACCAAAAAGGAAAAAAAAATCTAAGCGGTTGTTGAAAAAAAAAATCTAAATGGTTGGCAACAGTTTATGGGATTATTTGGATTGATTGTTTTGATTTAATAGTTAATATTCAATCATTAATAATTATTATTATTTATAATTCAAAATATTTAAATCATTTGATTAGGTCTAATAACTAATAACTATTTTCTAACCTTTAAAACAAATACCCCTTATGATACTGATAATTTAGTTTTAGTTGAGTTTTCAAAAAAAAAAAAAGAAAAAAACTCAAGACGTTATCATCATCCGTACGGTTTGGAGAAAATGGAGCATCTCGCTAAAAAAACGCCAACGGAAATTGTTCTCGTGACATTGACTAAGAGTAAAATGACAAAGACTTGCACAGTTGCACTTGCCCTTATGCTTAACAGTCAATTTTAAAAGTGTAGTTTTGTTAATATGATATTAATTTAAATTTCTCTATTTTTTTTAAATTTATACTTATTCAAATAATAATAATAAAAAAACAGAGACTCCATATGCATCGAGTCCTTTGAGTCAAGTGACAATAGCCACTCACAATGCACTTTCTCCCTTTCCTGGACTGGGTTCGACCCAACCCTTGTAAAACCTGTTAAAAAAAAAAACAGAGACTCCATATAGAATCGTTGGTAGCCATCACAATCACTTCTTCAAGCTGACTGGTAGAGAT